ACCAGGGGATAATTCCTTTTAGGCCTTCACAATCTCCAATGCTTTGTTTGTTTGCATACACACCTGAAAAATGTTTTATGTTTTGCAATTTTGTGAAGGCAGGCAGTTGAAGTTCTTGGACATGTCTAAGTGCTTAAATAACTAAATTCCCCACCAGATTTTACAGGAAACAGTAACTATGCATCTAAAGAAAAAAGCAATAAAAATAACAGTTTTAATTCAAAGTATAAGGACTCTATCCATCAGTAATTTTGTCAAATTACTGCATTTTACGAATGAATAGATGTATATATACACTATCATTCCTACCTATGTTAACCAGATGAGTAAGTATGGCAATTTGTGTTTTTTTTTTCACTAGGCAACTTCTAGTTTAGTTTGTTATTTACTTAGAGGACATAGTTATGCTCTTAGATATGCATGCTTTACTTTCACTTATTCCATTTAGAGAATGGTAATTGAATGCTGCACATATGAAGCTTAACTTTTTATCAAATTGGCCTGTGTTCCAGACAGCCAAAGATTTATTAGAAATCAAGTATTGAAGAATTAAAACAAATCACCTGTGTTCCATTTTATGCCAGATACAATCTCTCTCTTTATCACACCAAATTAAGTTAAGTAAAAGTGGTCATTGATACAATATTAAATTATATGAAATGCAAGTGGAATTCATAAGCAGGTTACTTGCAGACAGTTCTTAAGTGCTGTCAAACATTTTGTAGTGATCGGGCAGAAACAAAGTCAGCACAACATTTAGTAATAGATTTAATAAGGTATAATTATGCTTGTTGTATACTGACAACTGCATGCAAAGTATATATTAAGAAATAATACATCCCCCCGCTCCCAAAAAAAACACTGTGCATTTTACTGTGTTAAATACTCTAATTCAGTGATCCATGTTATAAATAATGGTTCACATCTGTTTCAGTGCCATGAGAGAATCTGTGTCGCTGGAAGCAAGAACTCTAAGTAAATGGTATGTTTCACTGAAATTTTCTATTACTGCTATCTAGCCAAGAAATAATAGAAAACCAACATACTGCACTACAATAATCACCATTTGCAATCCTAATTATATGATAAGTTAAAGTGATTGCTTTAGGATGGTATATTCTAAATACTTAGTTTCTAATTAGAATAGAGGGTACCAGTACAGTAACTGTGAATTACTATCCTAAATTTATGAAAGCTTAAAAGAGACAGATAAAATGAAGAACAACACGAAAATATAATCTGAACCTAATCTAGCATTTTACAATGCTCTAAAGGTATCTTAAAACAGTCACTTCTTCCAGGAGTTTATCTTACCTATATAAAACTGATAGAGGCAAATTTTTTAAATTGTCAGTAAAATCTACCTTCTATCCATTCATCAGCTTTATTTTTCTCAGATGTAACAATTGCACCAACTGATTTCCTGACGAAAAGGATTAATCCTTAGTAACAGAAGAGCAAGGTAAGTACACAATGCGTATTTTGAAAAGGTCATTGAACTTGTCGCAGTTAAGATTTGACATGCCTCAACTTCAAGAATCATACATCAATCTGATGTGACCAAAGTTCCTGAAGTAAAAACAACCTATCTTCTTTTTGAAATTGTTAGATACCATATGAAGCAAAACCAAGATACATCAAGCATGTATAGTAAATTTTTAAATACATCTCTCCACTATGTAGTTGTCAGTTTCCACATAGCAACTATGGAGAAAGATGTGCTATATATGTAAATGATAATGCCCTAGTAAAACACTATGAAATTAAAAATTAAGGTTACGTTACACTGTTGCTTCATGTTTTTTAAACAGAGTGTCACATATAAAGGGAGGTCAGAGTATTAAAGTGAACTGCTTTCAGTCCTCTTTGAAGGTTGTCATGTTGTGCAATAGTCCCCCATTTCTGAAAAAAGATAGTCTTTCAATAATTATTTTGTATATGAAAACCAACAACATATAGGACACCATACTTACAAAGTAGTGTGCCAAAGGATCCTGTATGTGTCTTTCTTGAAACTAACTGGCAAGCACACCAACCTCAAACAAATGTAATTCAAGAGAGCATAATAAAAGGCAGTCTATGAGAATAATGATGCAGCAAAGTAGGTGTGGTTTTACTTAACTAGGTAAGCTTGAGAGTCTTCCTTTGAACTTCTACACATGAATATATATGAGTGACATTAAGGGGGAAACACTGAGGAGACCAAGTAAGGTGAGGGACAAAATGACAAGGCAACCTTAAGTAACAACACAAAACCCACGTTGGTTATGAATAGGTAAGGAAGGAAAAAAAGATGTGACAGTGCAGCTCTTGACCACTTAAAGATTTCAGTGTTTTGTATATTAAACAGTCCTTTTTAATGACTTTTTTCCCTATATGTAGAATTGAGGATAATTAAATGCCTGTCAATGAAAACAGTGTAATAATAATTCATTTTCAACTACACTGATTGCTTATGAAGTTGCTAACTCAGAAGAACACTTCTAAGAAGCCTGAAGCATGCCTTTTCTATCATGGTATGGCTTTGGAGTGAAAGGCTCGTGTCTGCTGAATACTTTTGAATAAAAACATGAAATCTAAATTTTGGGAAAAATATCCAAATAGAAAAAAATTGTATTACTCATTAAATTTTTATCAGAACACAGACATCTGCATGAATCAACACCAGCTTGCATATGCAAAAGTAAAACAGTTCAACTGCTTTTAAATCTTGGAAAGCATTTGAGTTTTGTGCTGGTCTCCTGCAGAATCATAGCTCAAATTAGCTGCCAATTGCAAATTGCTTAAATTAGCGTGGAGACACAAGTTTGAAAACAACATGAGGAATAAAATCTCCAACGTGAAAGCAAAATTTTTGGCTGCAAATGGAAAAAGAATCACAGGAACAAGCTTTGATAAGCTGACACATCTGTATGAACCATGTATGCTTAAAAAAACCCACATTCTAGTAACTAGAACACCTTCAGGTGAATTTAATTTGGTTAAAATATTTCAATTCACATACACAGTCTTTTCTTGAACAAACAAGTTAAAAGTTTAAATATAAATGCCCCCTAAGTATTAGTTCTGCATAAATGTAACTCTGTGCATATCTTCATTAGCTTCAGCAAGAGGCTACAGAATTTTATTTACAAATTAAAAAGAAAGAATTCTTTTAACCTTTTGGATTTTATTCCTGTTACTAGCTTACATGTTATGTAGGAAAAAAATGAAAACTCAACAACCTAGAAATTCTGAAATGGGAAGACTACTAAATTAGAAGAAACTATCCATAATTGTTCGTATGGTTGGTTGGTTGGTTGTTTTGAAGATAATCAAAAGCATATTTGCCCCCCTCCCTACCTAACTCCACAGAGAGAAAAGGAACAAAATGAGATTTTAAATGTATTCAGAAATCTGGTGGGGGTTTTTTTGGTCAAAAATTAAGGCAGTTTTCCTATATATGAAAAATATCTTTTGCCTAACGAAACAATTCACATGTTTAAGATAAAAATTTCACGGAATTAGTACTAATTTGTGGTGTGACCTAGCACAAAATGATTCATTGCATGTGATATAAAATGCAATCTGTATAAAGGTACATAATGAAATTATCTAGATTAAAGACTGGTAAATTGCAGTATTTAGAAACAAAAGCTTTTTATATCATTAATGAAGATCAACTCTTTTCTATCATCACACTACCTTCACATGATTACTACTTCAGAACTAAAGTACCAGATCAAACCTACATGCTCTCTCCAAGCTGTTATGAAAAGGAATGGAACCTGGGGCTTTCCAAAGCAGCAAAACAAACAGAAACATAAATGAAAAGATCCCGCCACCCCTATACCAGATCTTACTTATCATTTTCTTATGCTAAGATTCCAGCATTAATTTTCCTCCTCACATGATTATTCAAAAACAAAACAACCAACAAAAAAAACCCACCAGAAAAAACACAACAACAAAGGAAAAAAACACCAAAAAGCACAAATGAAAAAAACAACCAAACCAAAAACCACAACAGCTTTTGGAGCACATCTTCACAATAGTTGTTCAAATTAAATTCCTGTATCTTTCATTCAAAGAAACAAAAAAAATCACATGCCATTTTCATACCTGCATATGGGTTACCAACATGACTGAAATAGAGTATTTATTTCAAAGGTAATATAGAAGTCATAGCAATGGCCATGGATAATGTTAAGGAAATAAGACTTAAGTAATTTCCTTATGCCACTCTCTCAAAGAGGGTTTTATTCAAACTTCTCTAATAAACAGAACTACAGTTCACTAAGACAAGGTGTAATTAGTATCTGTACTGTACTGCACCAATGTATCAAGATAATTTTTTTTAACGTTCTTGAGAGAAGTCCAATTAAAAGCATAATCTTACACTTAAGATTCTTCAACTTTATTAATTTGATGTGCACATGCTAAAGAAAAGAAACATAGGAAATGTCATTATACTTTGGGTTTTTAACACTTCCATAAAATACATGGGTATACAAAGCACCTCATACACAGTCATCAGTCTCATAAAGGTGAAAGTATGCTTGGAGTAGCACTACAGCAAAATGAAGTCATATATGGAACATGTATTTTCGATGCTCATCCTTATAAGAGTTCTAGTTTTGGCACCATAGATAAAGTTTCAATGTAATTTAACAGGGAATTTCAAAAAAAAGCAGCTGATTCACCCTTCCTATTGGTTTCAACAAAAGGAAACAGAAAACAACTTAAAAAAAAAACAAAAACCACCCACCCATACAAGTAAACTTGAAGATTTCAATGCTAAGTGAAAATTGTCAAAAAGTAAAACTTGGTTCACCAAGCCTAATTATATAGGGCCAACACAAATCTGAATCAGTAATTTTCTGAACTGCAACTACTCAACTATAAGGAAGAACTGTTCAAGTGCTAAAATCTGAAGATTAACAATTACATGTATGTCAAAAAGTTAACAGGTATGTTAAATTTTGAGATGCATCCATTCAAGTAAGTTTTGTAACATTTACCTGTATCCAAGCGCTTTACAGGGGACTCATCATCAACCTCAGAATCTCCACATGCACTCCTTGATCTTTTCCTTGGGTGCAGAAGTGTCTCCAACCTTGGAAGGACTACAGACAAAAAGGTTTTGGTCCCTAGCTGTGGAGAAGTTGGCTGGGTTTCAGTGTTCTTTGCAGACTTTTGGGGGCTTATACTTTTCGATTTGCAGAAGAGAATGGATGTACGTCTGTTTACATCAGTTGATGACTCAGCTACAGCAGAAACAGTCGACTCATTGAGATTACTGTCAAGTAAGTGTTCTGGAGTGTGTCCATTTATTTCTTTCTGAATGGAAGTGCTATATAATTCATTATCAAATTTTACTCTTTTGTAAAGCTTACTCTGCTCTGGATTGAGTTCTACTGGTTTGAGGGTTGGTGGTTCTGAATTAGTCTCCAAGTTTGAAGGAAGAGGTAATGCATCTGATGGTTCAAGTTTAGGGGGAGATTTATCTCCTGAAAAAATTATAAATAGAGTGTGATTTTTGAAAACCTGTAGTTAGAAAGTCTATTATAAAACTCACTATAAATGTGCAGCCCACCAAATAAATTGTTGTTTGGAAACAAAGCATAACATTTTAAAAACAAACCTTGACTAGCAACAATCTGTCCTAGTTAGTAGTTCCTACTTTTATACTGGGAATGTAACAGGGATAGAAAAGTAGGTGTTTATAGTTGGTGTTAACAATTTACACCTGGATAAATACTTTTTACTTCTCATGCAGTTATGTTAGTTTCATTAACTAAAAACTAAGAAATCTATTTTTTAAAATAGAACATTGGGGTGGTGGATGATCATCTGTTAAATGCAATTATACTGCCATTCAAGTCAAATTTTTAATAATATATATTATCTATTTTACCTTATCAATATTCACCTTACCCGCCTAAGACAACTTTGATCAGAGAAGATTAAAAAAAAGTATTTGTAATCTGATCTAGAGTGAGCTAAAATGTGTTATAAAATTTACAGAAAGGCAAGATTTGCAAAGCTGTTTTACAGTTGTGGATCCAAGTTTTATCTACCAAAATGAAAAAGAAATAAAAAAGGGGAGAAAAGAAAAACCCCCAAAGTCTTGCAGCTTGATTAGCCAGTAGTTGCCAAATGCACTCTTGACAATGCAGACTTGATAGGAGAAATCAGAAAAACCACCCTCTACCATTTTTTCTTTCTTCCCTTTTTTTTTTTTTTTTAAAAAAAACATGATCACGTCCCAGTCAATTCCAGTAACTCCATGCTAGGAAAAGACAATGGAGGTGCAACTGCGAGCATATAAAACTAGTTTCAGTTTTTCACTCCAAGTGATGAGAAAGAAAATAAACATTCTACTGTGGCAGCATTCCCGAATACAAGTAGAAGGACTTCCAAATCCATAACTATCAACTCAAAAAGATGTTAAAATCTTCTTTCCAGCTTCTGAAAGAATCTTTTAAAATATAAATTAAGAAGAAGAAAGAAGATGCTTATTCTAAAGATCGTGATATTTATGCTATCACGTTATTTTAGAATTTAGTTAATTTTTCTATGTCATCTGAAAAAAAGGGTGTAAAAAACCAAGGTTTTAAGCCCTGTATCTGTAATAGATTAAATACTGTCTCTATATTGTTTTGGTTTTGGCTCAGCAATGTTTACTTGGAACTCAGTAACTTCTAAGTGCAGAAAAATCCCTGCCCCATTGTTTAAGGTTTAATCAAACAGTAGATTAATTAAAATTAAAAATATATTGTTAAAATAAAGTGTGACATCCTTTGAAGGCATACAAGTATTAGAATTGCAAGACATCTAGAATGAAATTTACAGTCAGATAAGCACATTTAAAGTATCACAAATTAAAAAAGCATGTAGTTTAGAAAGTCCAAGGTGACTGTTCTTTGTGAACAAATTCTGGTTGTCTTAAAATTAATTAGAAAATATTAACAAAAAGATTTAAGCACAGAAAAACACTTGAGAACTACTCAGACACTAAAACCTGCATTTCACAGGGTTATTCTGGTACCATATTTTGCACATGATCAGAAACTGAAAACAGAATTGCAAGGGAGTAATTCACAGTTCTTCTCAAGTCAGCTCCTGTAGACATCCTGGTCACAGGATTCTACAGTTTTCTTCATCTTTCTTTTTGGCAATATTTTCTTTACTCCTCTAAGTACTTTCCATTTCAGAATCTAAATTTGAACTAATGACTATTACTTTTCCCTAGATCAGAATAGTAACAACAATGCCAATCAACTCTGGATCATGTTCTTCATTATGCTTTTTTTTTAAAAAGCATGCTGTAAATATAAGAAAGCAGCTACTGCTTACTTTTAGACTATTTTTTGCACAACAGCTGCAGTGAAAGGCTGTGTCATAAAAATTTCAACCTACAAGTAAAACAAGTTAGCGTATTCATTATCTGTTGGAAACTATATTCCTAGAGAACTATATTTAATAGAATCATCACTTGAAGATTAAAAAAACAAAATTAAAAAAAATCATTAAACATTTTAAGAATGCTTAATGGCCTCAGAACAAGTATGATGATTCATGTACACTTCTACTATTGTCTTTCAAATCTCAAGCAAGTTATACGTTTGAAAAGCATTCTCTTAGTCACACTAAGTCACACCACGTTGCTGTTTGAATGGCAGTTAAGGACAGTCATTTTACTGACTTCACCTTTCAAAAATTTTGATAGCATCAAGCTGGACCAGACACAGACTTTTATGTATTACCATGCTTCCACTTTCCCTTGAGCTCTTTCCTCCTCCTATTCAATGCACTTATTCAAAATAAAACACATCTCTAACTCTCCTAAAGAAAAATGGGTTAGCTTTTCAGAAAAGAGCTGGTTGTGAAACAAACTCAGTAGAAGGTGTGTTTTTTTTTTGGTTTGTTTTTTTTTTTTTTTTTTTTTAAGAGAGTAAACTTTCTTTGTATCATTTAAAAATGAGCAATGAAGACCCCAGGAATTGATTTAAAGCTAAAAAAGAAAAGACAATATTCAACAGAAATATAAAGTTAGATCTTTCTAGTATATTGCTCTCATAGAAATCCATGGTAATTAGCCAAGAGTAGATACAGTTCTGAAACCAATGTTTTGAGGAGGAAGAGAAGCGCAAGGGGAAGGGCTGGTTAGATATGGCTGACTTGATTCTACAACACGAAGCTTGTTAAATTTATTTAAAAAAACAACAGAAAACAAAACCACAAAACCCCCACAAAACACACAAAAAACCCCAACCTCAACCTACCCTCCACCCTCCCCAGAGTCTGGAGTTGAGAATAAAAACGCTACAAAAGACAATACAAGACAGCACAACAACCAGAGTTTTCAGCACCATTGACCCAGGCACACATGATCCCTAATACATATTTTGGTATGTAAGCAGATTTCTGAAAATACAAAGATGTTTCCCACTCAGGCATTTCCGATTCCTTTTCATATGAGATTGATTGTATTTTCATTTCATAATACCTGATTTTTTAAAAAGCCTTGCTACTGGGAAAAACAATGGAGGAAGGTTTTGTTTAGAAAGATCATTCTCATATTCTTAAAGTATTTGTTGTGATTGACTATTTGTCCATTTAAAAATTAAATATAATATTAATTTATTACACTCTTGAATTCACATGATTAAAGCACCTGACTGAAGAGGTTCACAACAGTACTGATTTAAATACAGTTTAAAATCTTACCTTCTTCTTCGCCGTCTTGTTCTAATGCTGCACTTTCTTCTTCGAAACTTCCAATACCTGATTCTATTTGAGGAACTTGGTTGTGTTGCTGACTTAGTTTGTTGCGAATAATGCTGATTTCTTTCTTTAACAGCTTTGCTCTTTTGCTCCTTGACCCACTGGATTTCATTGCACAGGTGAGATCAAGTTTTTCTAGCAACTCTCTCAGCTGTTCTTCCAAGGACATATGCACTCTGTTTGCAGGATTCAGTAACCTATCCACTGAAGTCAAAATACGTATAATTGAAAATGTGTTAGTGTTTCACAGAATATTTCCCAGAATAATGAGGAAAAAAAAATCACTTGCCAGAATTAAAAAATCTCATCAAAAAGCTACTTAGATTACAGTCTTAGTAGCTTTACCATTACCAGTGAAGAAATGTTGAATCAAATTCCTACTATATAATTACTATTCTTCTTGATCAGCATTTTGCTCAAGAGAACTAAGTAGTAGAGCAAAGAATTAAAAGGTCATAAGGAAGACATAATTAATCCTTTCCACCGTAATAGAAGACTTCCTTCTTGACAAAAAGAAGGGCAAGATTATGGTTATAAAAGAAACGTCTTCATTATTCTCCTTTACTGCCAAAGCCTCAGAAAACCCATACGTAAGTCAAAAGAAGTCATTTTAATTCCTAGTATTACAAATGTGTTTGATTTTTTAATTCAGTAGGCTATTTAAGAATGTGCTCAAGTTTATGCTCACTGGTAGTCATCTTCCATGCCTTACAAGCATATACAATCATGTGAAAGAAAGCACCTGGTTTAAAAACCCTTTTCATATATGTTGTTAAATTAGGCGCTGGCACTGTCAAAATCAGAATCTGGATAACACTGTTTTTAACAACATATCTATTAAGAGTAGAAACACTTGAATCTTTCAAGCAATGTTTTTAAGGGGCGGGGGGGGGGGGCGCGACATCTAGTCAACAAACGGAGCAGCAGTAGTCTTAAACACCTGCATGGAATGTACACACAGTGTGTAACGAAAAATGCAACTTTTACAAATAATCCAAAAACATCTTACCATCTTCCCAAGAGAAAGGCTGAGGTGACTCAAGTTTAGGCCGTTCAGGTAAGTGCATTCCAGTTTCATTATTATAACCGATCCCTTCAGCATCTCGCCTAGCTTGCCTGAGAACTACACCTCCTTGATCTCTTAACCGCACTGCAGCTCTATAGAATATTGTATCTTTTGCATTGTATTTCATACAGTTATCTATGATAAGATTGAAGTCTTCTTCAAACTCACTGAGGTTTTTATAGCCTTGAGCATCTAACCGTTTTCGCATGGTAGAGAAATCCATAGGATGTTTAATATGATCCAAATAGTCTGGAACCTTTGAATAAATATTTAAAACATGAATGGGTAAAATTATCTTATTACAGACAACATAATATTAGCTATTAACTGATTAACGTTTTCTAACATATTTTGTAACACCCCAAATCAAGAACTTCAAAATGAAGCTTAGTATTGCACATCTTGATATTGCAAACGTTTGCATACCAACAGAAGTTTACGTTACAAGATTCTGCATCTTTGAGTAAGAAATTGGAGCTTTACTAAGAGATGCTGAAACCACGTTTTTATAATTTTGTGGTTTTATATACATGTGTATTTATGCACACATACTTATAAATGTGTGTATTTATAGATAACACATGTAAAATGTATACACGTATATGTAGTATATGCACACTTGTGTATATATACAATTTATATATACAGATATACATGTCTTCATGTTATTTATATACCTGTATAAATGCATTGTATATGTATGTGTGCACACATACACACACGCGAACACTTAAGTTTATCTGGTTTCTCACTGAATAAAAAGAAATGTCACCTGTAAGTCAGAACACAGTATCCACATCTCAATTTTCAAGACACCCTTCAAGTTTGCTTTATCAAATAATCTTACCAGAAAAGATCAGCATGTACCCATGTTATTCTGTACAAGTATTACCCAGAAATTATTTTGCTATATGTGCATAAATAACTTTCATAGCAGTAAGTCATAACTCATAATACAAATTTTGAGAACAGAGATTAAAAGGTAACACCACTCCCAACTCTGCATGCAATTATTTGTCAACAAGTCATATCTAAACATAAGGAGATACAGCTTAAAACATACCTCTTTAAGGTTCACTGGCTGAGCAAATATACGAGCAGAATCCTTTTCCTGTAGCTGATCTAGAACTGATCGCAGAAGTACAGTGAATGGAGTAAGCTGAAGTTCCATAGCAACCTGCTCAATCTTGACCTAAAGAAGTAATAATTATCCAAATGAGCATTTTTCATTAAGATAACTGTTTTAAAGTTGTTTTGCAGCAACAGTAAAGTACTTTACATATGAAAGACAATATATTTAAACGAGTTCAATGATACTTTCAGTATCACCAGTTGGCATTTGTCTGACATACATTTTCAGCTTTATGAGAAAAATCATTTTCATCCCTTCACTGTAGACTCAATTTCAACTCCAGCTTCTCAGAATGCAAATTTGTATTTTATCTATAAATGAATTTTGTTCCATTTTTTAACTTGCTTTGAAAAGATGTTACATAAGAATAGCTTTGTATTTTGCCAACAATGTGAAAATAAGATCAAGAATTTAAAGGTAGCGTCTTTAAAATTAAGTTTCACTTGTAGTGCCATATTCGAACTGTAAAAAGAGAATTTGATGAACATTTACAGGCTACATAAGATGAAAGAGTAATTTTAAAGACAATGTTCTATATAAATTCCAATAAAATAATTTAAAAAAACAGAATCAACATCTTCAAATCCTCAATCATCCTTCAGGATTTTCATTATTTTAAACAATATTACAACGCCTCTATGGCTTTATTTTCAGGCCATATAAAGAGTTATCAACATTGAAACATTCTTGTTATAGCAAAAATAAATTCTTAATGACATATTAAAGGTGTGTGTATACATGTAATATAAACATGTAAACAAAGTATACACACAGAAACACACGCATAAAATACATGTGCAAAAAAAAAATACATAATACGTGTGTATAGCAAGTGATATGTGAATGTACATGAATGATGCATGTAATTCCAGAAGGCACTCAAGAATTACAAACTATATTAGCTTGCAATGAATGCTCACAGCTTGCAAAAAGTAAAAATGGAATGGTGTTTTAATAAATAAGGACAATTAAAGACTCATATGTGCAAACATTTTGCTTTCATTTTTCATATAAATGTTACCCTTGGGCATTATCGCCTCCTCAAGTCTCTTCTCCCAGCAATGTTAACTCTAGAATGTCACAGGACTTAGATGCACTTTTTTTTTGTGACAGAAGAATGAGAGTGCTACTCAGCATAGGCACACGTACTAGAAAACCCGAGGAGATCAAATTTTCTTCAGTTCTTCAGAAACCAATTGTCTTTGCAAGTCTAACAGAATGGCTTGTCAAACTCACATCTGTGACTGCAAAGAGCATGGAGCAGATCCTCCTAGAAGCGTTGCTAAGGCACATGGAGGACAGGGAGGTGATTTGAGACAGCCAGCATGGCTTCACCAAGGGCAAGTCCTGCCTGACCAACCTAGTGGCCTTCTATGATGGGAGTGACCGCATCAGTGGTCAAGGGAAGAGCTATGGGTGTCATCTATCTGGGCTTGTGTAAGGCCTTTGACACAGTCCTCCACAAGATTCTTCTCTCTAGATTGGAGAGATATGGATTTGATGGGTGGATTGTTGGGTGGATAAGGAATTGGTTCGATGGTTTCATCCAGAGGGTGATGGAGAGGTGTGAGGGTGGTCCAGAGGGAAAACAGTTCAGTGTCTGGATGGAGATAAGTGATGAGTGGCATCCCTCAGGGGTTCATACAGGAAAGACATGGACCTGTTGGGAGTGGATCCAGAGGAGGGACACAAAAATGATCAGAGGGATGGAACACCTCTCCTATGAGGACAGGCTGAGAGAGTTGGGGCTGTTCAGCCTAGAGAAGAAAAGGCTCTGGGGAGACCTTACTGCAGCCTTCCAGTACTTAATGGGGGCCTATGAGAAAGATAGGGACAGACTTTTTATCAGGGCCTGCTGCAACAGGGCAAGGGGTAATGGTTTTAAACTAGAAGAGGGTAGATTCAGACTAGATCTAAGGAAGAAATTTGTTTATGATGAGGGTGGTGAAACACTGGCACAGGTTGTCCAGAGAGGTGGCAGATGTTCCTGGAAACATTCAAGGTCAGGTTGGATGGGGCTCTGAGCAACTTGATCTAGTGTAAGATGTCCCTGCTCATTGCAGGGGGGTTGGACTAGATGCCCTTTAAAAGTACCTTCCAACCCAAACGGTTCTATGATTCTAAGATAATTTTATAGACTTTAAACAGTTTGCTTGAGTGCATACATGCATGTTTCTTGATCCTACCTGAGGATTAAAAGACAAACACTGCAGTTTTTCTATTGCGAAAACTGTGAGAATACTTAAACTATCATTCCTTCTGAGAAGTTTCACCAGATTAAAAGGTACTCTACTTACCTGTTCTCTTTTTAACTTTTCACGCTTACGTATAAGTTCAATCAACAGACGCGCTCTTTCAAGATCATGGCGCAGCCTTTGCCAGTACTTCAGTTTTTCTTTTAAGGCTTGCATTTCTTCATCATCTTCTCTCTAAGGAAATAATCAAAATGTTTTCATGAAATGAAAAATGCTAACTTCTTTTTATAAGCTAGTTCTATGCAATTACAGAACATATTCACAGGAAAGAAGAAACTACTGTCTTATAGTTATGGCACTCGGTCATAAGCTTCATACTGCAACAAAAGAAAACCTCTGGGTAGGGTGCCTTCTAGGGTTTCTCAATCATCTAGCTGAAAACAAAATCTGTAAACTGGAAAGCAAACCTATGGTGAAGGCTATTTGCATCAGAAAAAGCAATATAGCAAAGAGCAACCTAGCAAAGCTACAAAATAAGAGTCAGTATTTTCACATCAAAATCCAAACAAGGTGAACACCATCAGGTTCTTAGCAAACTCAAGCCTGGTAGAAACAAATTCTTGTTGTGCTCAACACAATACACCTCCCCTGCATCCAGCGGAGTCAGGACACACTTGTAACAGAACTAAATCATTATGACTTCTGAGGACAGGAAATGAAAAGCAATTATTAAATAATATAGTAACTTCAAATGGTACTGCAAACGGGTAATGTAGTAATACAACTTTTCAGTGAAGGGATGAAATAATTTAATTCACAGATTTTTAGGAAGAAGCAGTGTTTAAACACCTGCAATATTTAGTTTCATTTGTACATAGAGAAAACAGAGCCCTTCTTGGTTTACTATTTTTCATAAGAAAAAGGAAGATATTTGAATACTGCCCACAGTATTCAAATAGTACTGGTAATTCACCAGAAACAAGCCATAAAAAAGTAAAAATCCTGATATTAGTACCAAATACACAGAAGAAACATCTGCTTTGAAAATTATTATTTAAAATGAGTATTTTGTAAAAGAGTCTCAGAAATAAATCCAAACCCTTGTATGCCTGCCTGTAGCTAGCATAATGCAATATACACTTGATTAAAAAAAAAAAGCAAAACTTACGACGATTACTTAAAGAACTTAAAACAAATAAACAATAAATTCTGTAGGTTATAAAAAAATAGAAGACAGAGGAATAAAGAAAACTGGCTAAGCAGACGAACAATAACCAGCATTACAAATTGTTACACACAAAGCAAATATCCTCCTTAGAGAAGGATAATTTAGAAATATCATAGGTCCTCTAAAGCAAGCTTGTGCAATTTTTCAGACAGAAAGTTCTAAAAATAGAATTGCAAAAAAAGCAGTTTGAAAAAACAAATCTTCTAGATTTGGAAGTGTTATGATTTCATGATATGCGTCCTATTTTACTGCTTTATACACTTTGTAGAAGTAACAGCAAGTACCTGTGGAAGCTATGAGTTAGTTTTATTGAAACCTTTGACTTCACTGAAGTTGAAAATGCTTAAATAACAACTATCCAATTATCTCTATATTCAATATAGCAATCTCGAAAAAACAGTTTATTCCTCTTTCCAAAAAACAAAATGAACGAAAAAACTAAACCACCAAAAAGAGACTGAAGAATTGGAGCTAGAAACCTCCAGTTCCCTTCCCTAATGACTATTACTACTGAGAGTTATTGTTTCTTCAAGGAGTTAAGTCTTGACTTGGACACATAATAATTTAACGGTTGAGGGACAGAATAGTTCAAAGCAAATTTTGATGGAACAAATATTAATATGCATACTTTCAATTCCTTAAAATTCTGAGAAACTCACTGAATTAAAAAGTCTACACGCCTTCATCTCCAAGTACAAAGCCCACGTGTAGAAAACCAACCTACTGTTAACTGACATAGCTATACAATTTTTTCATAGTTTTACTGTTTTTCAGAACCAAAATTAAGTTGTGGCTATTGCTGCAAGTGGAAGGTTTGTCCTCCCTTTGCTTGCAGCCAGAGTCCACTCTTTCGCCCTATATAATTGCACAGTTCATGAAACAGGGGAATTGACCCTGCTGAAAGTTAAGTCAACAAAACCATACTAGTTTTAGGGTGGGTCAGGAAACTTAAATACAGCAAGAAAAAAATGTTACTTTGTTACACCAGGTCTTGCAGTAGTTCATTAGAGACTGAAGTATTCGGCTAGATCTGAACGGGCAGTTGCACTTTTTAAAAGAAAAAAAAAAAAAGATTATGCTTTTAGTTGAATCAGTTGTTTGACCAATTTCATTCCATAAAATAGGCAGGTAGGTGTTCATCTGCAGATGTGACCCAAAGTATCAAGAGCACATTGATTGCTTTTTTTTTTTGTGCACACATACATTTCCTTCCTGAACATCACTCTGGCTTGGGGATTAATAGCAAGCCTCCAATTTTTTGACACTTCTATGCAAAGTAATGTTGGCAGACACGGTTATAATAGCTAAGATAAGCCTCCTTTACTCCAACCTATTTATTACCTCACATACAACATATACCTTAATTAGATTAAAAGATCCAGGCAAGCTGAAAAGAGCATGGTGCGCTGGCTTCCAATATCTAACTAGTAAAAATCTGGATTAAAAAAAAAAAAAAAAAGAGTTCTTTTCAAAATTTTTAGTTTTTAAAGCTTTCTGAAATGAAAAGTTTCCATTAACTTCCTGGTAAAGAGGTCTTCTTCCAAATAGTTCTTTCTATAACAAAGCCAGAAAGTTTCTTCTGGCTGACGACACAAGAAGAATTTAGAAAGAAACCCGGTGGTATTTTCTGATGGACTTAATTCTTGCTGAACTCCACATATTACCTAGAAAAGCTAGAACTGACTATTTATTAATACTGAAGGAAGAGATTTCTAAGTCTACACACAGAACGTGCATCAACTGAAAAGCGGTCTTCAGCTCCAACTCCCACCGTCAGTATGCTGGCAATCTCTGCATACTAACAGGAATACTGTCAGTGTACCAACAGATCGCTCCTTATCTTAGAAGTGATCTTATGCTGGACATAATACATGGGGACAGCCTCAGTCCCTACAGGGACTGTAACTGAATATGAGCCGAACAAAGATAGAATTACAGTGATGAAATTGGATCTTGATCAATACAATTAGTTTTATTAAGACCCTCTGCTGGCACTGATATGTCAATGAGTTACAACTATCTAGTGGTTGCAACTTGTGTTCTTACTGAAACCTTCAGTGCAGATATGACCTTAGTCACCAGCACCGTTTCTTTCAACAGCAATTTTAAACAAACCTCACTAAAGCAGCAACAAGATATTACACTGAAATTTAATGCCTTATTTTTATTTAAGCATTCTTTAAGTACAGAAAAAAAATAAAATAATACAGATATAAATTTATTAGAGTATTTCCAATGCCCTTCCTGAATTTCTAGATGAAGTGAGAAGTGACAAGCATAAACCATTCTTTCAGAGGGTTCCTCGTTCTTGCAGATGGTAAGATAATATATAAGCCCAGATCTTCCTCTCTGGTTTAGAACTGTTAGTTGATATAACATGACCTTAAAAAGCATATCATAACTGAGCCCTGAAACACGTTCATTATGAAGTCATTCTACATCATGAGCACTTCCCCCCCCCCCCGCCAAATGTGTTCTAGTAAAGAAACATTAGGGAGGGATCAAAAACACCTTCCACTTGGCATCCTGAAATAATTTTCAGGGTTTTGGTTCCTCATCTTAGTATTTCTTTTCAGTTTTGAGAGATATTTTTTTTTTTTTTTTAAATCTCCTCTGCATCTGTATTGCCTCAGTGTTTTAAGTTCCTTTGATTGACCTATTTGAAAACCTATTTAGGCTTCTTGACATTCTAATCTCTCACATAAAATAAGGTAAAAAGAATTTTCCCATCTAGACCAAAATGAACAAAATAATCATCTGTATCCCAAACCTTTGGAGGCATTCTCACAACAGCTATGCCACAGCTGTTTATTAAAGTCTTCACTCTGGTTTGGCTTATACTTGGGGTAACAAAGATGACTAATGCATCAAATGCTTTGCAGTTATGACTACGTCAATAAGTATTACAAATACATACTGAAGATGCTATGGAGAAGACACAATGTCATACACAGGACACTTGCCACTCACTGAAGAACACTACCTACACATTTTTCATCAACAGAATCATTTTATGCTCATCTTTTGAAACGAAAAAGCAAGTTTCATGCAAAGACAAAGTTAATTTCAATTCTAAGTTTTTAAGAATAAAGCCTCAGAAATACCCCAATTTTTAATAAATAAATATAAATAGTTTCCAATTGATTTAGAAAATACTTTACATTATTTTCTTACTTAAGAATAATGCATAGTTCTGAAATTACAAAATGGAAGAAAGAAATAGTGTTTGTACAGGAGGGCAAACACACAAAGGAATTTAAAACAGCTCCTATCTAAGGCTTATTTTATTATAATCAAACATCAATTATAAGAATTGTTTTATTTTGGTAGTTACTACTTTAATATTTAGAAATGTTGCAGTCTCATCATGCCATCTCATTAAGACAAGTAATTCCTACCTACCAAGTAGCAAGTATAAATTTTTCAGACACTAACTATAGTCTAGGTCTATACTGCCACATGCGCCCCAGACTTTTGTGATTGATTTTATTATTTTTAAGGACTCAAGCTCATTTAAAAAAAAAAAATCTACTATCTGAATACATTTATTTCCGCTATTATTAGGTAACTGCCAGGCACCAGTCTTCAGAACAGAAACTTCTCATAGAGAATCAGAAGATTAAATCAAAGATTAGAAGTAGAATACAAAATATTTTAGAGAAGTTACAACCCCCAAAATAGTATTAAAATGGAGTAATGCAGCATAAAAGCAATGAAAGAAAAATAAACAAGTGGACAATTTATATTCAAAGTTAATTCCACCTATAAGGAATCCACCTAAATCCCACCCAGAAGTAATCTGTGCATCTCTGCTATGAGGAAAGGCTAGGAGGGGTGGGACTGTTTAGCCTGGAGAAGAAAAGGCTCAAGTGGGAGTGTGGGGGGAATCTCATCATTGTATGTAAATACCTGAAACAAGGGTGCAGAGGTGACCAAACCATGCTCCTTTCAGTGGTGTCCAGTGACAGGCTAAGATGCAATGGGCACAAAGTGAAAAACAGGAGGGTCCCTCTGAACATCAGAAAAAACTTTTTTTTCCTTTTACTGTGAGGGTGACTGAGCACTGGAATAGGTTGCCCAGGGAGGTTGTTGAGTCTCCAAGCTTGGAGATACCCAAAAGCTGTCTGGACATGGATCTGGGCAACTGGCTCCAAGTGGCCCTGCTTGAGCAGTGGGGTTGGACCAGACAACATCCAGAAGTCCCTTCCAACCTGAATTGTTCTGGGAATTATTAATTAGGGTTTTTTTTTTTCCCCATGAAAAACTAAGAAAAGAAACACACACAAAAATGACAGATCAAATAATTAGGAAGACTGCTGACCATCGTATTTTTATGACTACATCAATTAGTGACTTAATCAGCAAATAGCAATGCAATTCAGAAAAAAAATAATAGTTAAGCTTTAACAGGAAAAAAATATCTCAATTTAATACAAGTGGAAGATGATAAAATGCATTCTTAACTTCTAGAGGCTATTTTACAGGAACAATTCCACTGGAAGTCAAACACCTGGAGAATGAAAAGAACACAGGCAACTACATCTTCAGATCAATTAAAAAAGGTAACTGCCATGCAGTAAGAATTTCCACATCATGATGCTTCACAGCATTTCAACGTCAACGCACATGGATCCATACACAGAATTAAGAAAAGAAGTTTTCATTATTTTCGAAGCCACGCAGTGACTTGAAACCGAAACAATAAAAGACCTGACAAAACCTCTAATGTCACTGAAGAGCTGTTCATACTACAAAAATGGGAAGCAGTGTTCACATTATAAAAACAGGAAGCAGAAGAGTTCCACTTTCTGAATCTGATACACATCTGGAATGACTGTTTTTCTGTTTTTCAGCAATTCTGACTGGTAAATGTGTACAACTTTAACCAACCTAGATGTGTTTTAGCTAGGAGACATTTTACGTGAACAAAATATTACCATAAGTTATGCTTGTCTACAATCCCACTTAACTATGTCAACAGTGAAATTAGAAGTTGAAACAGGTCTTTGAACTTCATTAACAACTTGGTCTTTGTTCTGTTATTACCAAACAAGGTCATCAATGAGGATCTGAATTTAAGAACTGTAAACTAGCATGTCTAACCTTTACTCTGCAAAAATCCCAGTTTTTCTCAGTTATAAGTGTCAAAGATGATATTTGCTTTCCTTATTTTGATGAATTGAAAATAAAATTTATTTTTCATCCTACTAACTCATAGCACATTGAGGAAAGAGTTCCAAACCACCACAATACTAGTCAATGAACAATGGTATTAAGATAGTTTTGGTGACAGTATTTTTGTGAAACTTCTAAGCAAAACAAAAGAAACACCTGCACAAATGTTCTTTTTCATATCTCACAAATTAAAAATTATTAGATAATGCCCAATTTCCAATATAGGTCATATTACTTAAGAATAAGGTAAAGAGTTTACTCAGTCCTGAATAAGAGAACATTTTTACTCCATGCTCTGTTTCCTGGTTAATTTTTTACTTTGTAAAATAGAGATTTTCTGATTTCTTCTTATAAGTAAAAAGTGTGTCACATACCTGTTGTGTGTTTCTTTGTGACTGTAAACTGGACTGCAGCCTTCTCAACAGAGGAACACCATTCCTAGACAGTCTTTTAAGCAACCAGTAACTGTGCACTCGTTCAACAAACTGCTTCTTCCGCTGAATGGCCACCTGATTCATAATCTTATTTAATCTAAAATATGGAAAAACTGATATTGTATTTTTCACAGCAAAGCACAGAACTTACTTGTCTATGGAAGTTAAACATCAGATATGTGTGAATGTATAATGTAACAACACAGTGATCACCATATTAGTGATTTCTTTCATTGACATTCCTTTCAGTACAATTATTTCTGAGTAGATTACAAGCAAATACATCCGACTGACACTGTAGTTTCTACCAAAAACGTTGAGGTACTTCATAAAGCTAAAAGGTATCAATTTTTTTATGATTGTTATTTCAAGAGCAATCCCAGATGAGGACTGAGAATAAAGCTTTATGTGCATTTCAGAATAATTTTCCTTTTGAAAATAATATCACAAATAAAGCTCTAAATCCTGACAAAAGTTTTCAGAACATTTGTTGTCATCTTCACACAGAATTAGTAGTTTATTTTAAAGACAATATATCTTCAAACTTTTTACATAAAAACATGCAACAAAAAGCTTGTATTACTCATCTACTATTATTAAATTTTGGTAAATAAAACTAACAAAAAATGTAAAACAGAAGAACACTCATGATTTTGCTCCACATGTACGATGAAAATATCTACAAAGATGCAAGAGAAGATGATACACTTAAAATATCTTGATTAAATAAACATTATCATTTCTAAACCTGTTTTTTAACAGATGCAAATACTGTTTACATATACTCTTTTTACAAATACTCCAGGAAAGTGCTATATGAACATCACAAACAACAACCTTGACTCATATTTCTAAAATAATGACACCTTAAAATTTCCAAGTCACCTAAACAACACTAACCATTCAAAACTTACACTCAAAAAGAAGTTTATCTGAAATACATCTTCAAACTCTCTATGCCCACAGTATCTTGAAATCACGGCAAAAAAACTTGAAAAAAAGTTAATGGTTGTAGAATGAAAAGGTTTTGTCTCTGTATGGCTTTGCAGGGATTTGTCACTGGTGGCAACCCTTCCAAAATTAACAGAAGATGCCCCAAGGCACCAACCACCTGTACTGTTAGGGGGATTGTTCATTCGTTTGGGGGCAGAGGTGAGCTGGAGAGAGAGAAAAGGATTTCCATGAGATGGATGTAAAAGAGAGTTACAGAAAGGATAATACCAATGAACAGAAATCTGTTAATTCTTCACTTAGTATATTACTACCCATAGCAAAACTGTACCATGGATAGTATTAGGTTTATCAGAGGTTGTCCAATAAAATTTAACACCAAAATATGCAAAATTAAATTCAAGAAGTGGCTGATTTGTAAAGCACTACCACTAGGTGTTTAAATAATAAAAACAAAAAAATCATGAACATACACACATACTAGTATTTTTCTACTTTTTTCCCTTTTAATATTGGGAATAAAGCCGTTTGTCAGGTAAGTGATAGAAGAAAAGTAGTCAAATACCTAAATAAAATGTAAAGCTATAAGTAAACCTTGCATAAAATGATTTTTAAGAATAGCTGGGAAACTTGAATTGTATTTTTCAGACAGACATAAAAGTGAGTCTACCCCGAGTTCACCAAAGGTCATCTATCCCTGGTTGTTTTTTCTGTGCCGTGTAGAAGGTAAGGTGCAATACATGTACTCAGCGCTACCACCAGCTGTAGCTACAGAGCTTTCAGTCATTACAGGGTAAAGGCAGAGAGATCATAGGTCTTCTTCAAAATACAGTGCCATTGTTTCCTCTGGTTCTTCAGTGACATTGTTTTTCAATTAATAACTAAGCCTGCCAGGCACTCTCAAAAAATTTTAGCTTAACTTAAAACTTTGAAAGTCTGCAGATGGACTTAGGACTGTCTTGTAAGTCTTTCACTGAAGGGCAGAGGCAGGCTCCACAAAGACTTATTCAATGCACAACAGACCTTAGTGTGACCATATTAAACTTCAAACACAACAGAATTACAATTAATTATGGAATGCAATCAAAATAGAATAATTACTTTCACATCTCTCTCTTGGAAGCAGCAAAACCTACTGAACTGAGTCAAAAAAAGCACAGCCAAATATACACCTATTTGGAAAGATCACAGAATCATAACTTAACATGCAGAAAGGTGCCTTGGCTTCATGCCCATCAGATGTGGCAAGACTAAGTAAACATCTTTAATTACAACTTTAAGTACATTTGCCCATTCACATAAGGAACCATTCTGTTCATACATAATTATAATAGTAAAGTGCTAGAACAAGCTCAGGAAATATGTTCACAGAAGATACTCTCCAACTTTCAAAACACAAATAAACAGAAGGTAACTTGGAGTGCAGAAACTACCTAACAAGAGGTAGGAATATGCTCTTCTCTGCCTTCCCTCCAAATAAAACCAAACAAATACTGCCTGTTCATACTTCACTTAGACATCAGACTTCAGTAGTGGCAATATACCAACAATCACACCTTAATTCCTCACAATACAGAGGTCAGAGATTCTTCACATGGCAGACATCTACAGAGCCTCTACTCTATGATCCTGAGGTAACGAGGATGTTACATCTGCTGTTAGACCCTAAGGACCCACTAACTATAGCACGGTTCTTTGATCATCTTCTTTCTTAGTCAAATACTCACAGGTAGATTTTTTACTGTCCAAAACGCTTTAGATTTTGACAGACTATACAAGCATTTTGGGAAAATAAGACACAATTCATCTGCTGCTGAAGAACCCTTAAGTAGCACAGGCTGGGTATTCATTTTGAAGCTACCACTCTTGCTAGCGCTACCATATTGGAAAAGAGCTTTTCACTCACAGATACATCCAGCTGCTGAACACAAACATGAAATAAGGCACACAGGTATGCACCACCCTTAAGTTCCTTTCTGCTACCTGAGCTTGAACTAAATTTGTAAATGTTGAAACTAAATTTTCAAACTAGAATTTTGAAATTCTTTGAGGTCTTAAAGGAGTTTGCTGCACATTCCACTTTCTTTTATTCAGAGAGATGTAATCTAAAAGAATTTATTGAAGAGAAAAATAAGTACATCTCTGAGGCAGGTAAGGAAGAACTGTTTCAAGACTTTATAGTTTTGCAATCCAGGATCTCACTTGCACAAGACAGGATTAACTGCTACACTACCCTGACAAATCAGCCCCCCCAGAGGCAAGGCTTAGAGAACTTAGGTTACCTCCCAAAACAACACGAAACAATTTTTGCTATGGTATCTGTCCACCCTAGAACTTTTTCTGAGTATAAGAACATCAGGAAGAACAACTTTCTGTAGTGTTTTGTTTTCTAATGGCAAGTCAAGCTTAGTAAGCACTGGGAGAAAAAAAAAATCAGGTATTTAGAACACACATTAAACAAAGTGTATCAATTGAACCTGTGCTTTCTCATAGACCAGTCTCATTACTTGGTAACTTTTAAACTCTCTGTTAAGATTGCCAAGTAAGTGCAAGACTACTACTGAAGACAGCTCACAAAGAAGAGAATGTAGGAACATGTATCTGGAAGATACTACCAGAGTTACAGTCTCCCCCATCAGAACTGACTTTAGACATGTCAGGAAAAAAAAAAGCAACAACTATAGCGACTACAGTAAGCAAGCAGGGAGACAAGAAGTGTTCTTGCTGTCCAGGTTTCACATGGAACAGAGAATTTATCAAGACAAAATCCCCAAAGAGCATCCTGAAATGGACCATGTTAAGTGCTAATCACTTTTCTCTGAAAATTTTTAAACAATTAACACAATTAAGCTAAATCCAGGGCAGAACTTGCTGCAGCCTGAACCACTGTTCTGAGGCCTTGAGAACAGCTCAGTGTGGCTCACAGTATGTTGTTTTTCACTCAACTTATCAGTTATTTAAAATAAAATACATTGAAATTGAAAGTTCTTAAAAAGATGGCTGTGTTCCAATGAAATTCAGTAGCTGCTGGTCCCATAAAAGAAGTATTAGGTTGCAAGCTGATGACCACTGCAGCCTTTTAATGTTTTGGCACCACCAATCATACTCCCTCTTTCCTCCTTTTTTTTGGGCTCCATTCCAAGACTACACAGATGTCAAAACATTTTTCAAACTGTTTTATTTGTGCCACAGGCAACTGAGAAAACCAGTACTACTTCCTTACCCAGTCCCACTTGTATCTGACTGTAAAACACTGTGACATGCACTGCAAGCATGATATGGAGGTATCGTACAATTCCCTGCTTGTCTTTAAAAATGGAAAGGTCCCTTTACAGCTGAACCTTTCAAGCAGCACCTGCAGTTCCCAGCCTGAAACCATAGTTTAGGCTGAAATGTAAATTATGGCATTAAAAACACGCTGCCTTTACAAAAGCAACAGAAGGATGAGGAGAGGAAACTGGTTTGTTTTGAAAGGGGGAGACAGATTCAAATAATTTAATTTAAAATGACAGTTAATGTACAACAGCTTTGTGGTGAGAAACTAACTTATCAGCTGCTCCACATTAACCCTCTCCTTGCATGGAGACATTTGATGGATAATCTACCCTGCAAAGGGTAATACTCCTAAAGCACTGCTCAAAGCATTCAGAGAAAGCTTAACATTACTCAGTCCTATGTTTCTTCATCTTTCTGATAAATGCATAAAATAATTTTCGTCAACATAAGAGATGTGCTCTTGTCATATTAGCAGTCTTACAGCTTCCTTCTTCCTACTCATGACTGCCTTCCTCTCCCAGTTTCAGTTAAATGGCATTGTGGCAACTACAGCAACTGTTTACAAGAAAAAGTGAAAACTATTTTTGGTGACTATGTGGCAGTTTAACATAAAAAAGCCAACAAGAAATAATCAGACACTTTTCTAATAATCAGCACTAGCCGCTCCAAAGATCATACCTGCTTTTTAACTCTAGAGATATCATTTTAGTATTATAATATATGAAGACTTCTATAGCACCTCTCCATTCTCAAGTTTTCAAAATACAAACTGGAGAGAAAGTTTCAGAGAAAGTTTAAGCAAGTATTTATTTCGCCAGTATTACTATATACCAACTCAGGCAGAAGGAACTGAGTATGAAAATCTGCATT